CCGCTCATTCATTTCTATGGGAAAAATGCTAACGCTAACTATGACAACCTTAAAGGGTAATGCCTATGTGTGTGTGTGTGTTTGTGTGTGTATGTGTGCGTATGTGAGCGGGTGTGCCTTACCTTATGGGGTAACACAATGTCCCCACAACGTGCTGAATGCCCCTTAATAAAAATCTGAGACTGCAATGAAAAAACTAAAGATGCAAAAACTCTTGTATTTTGCTTGGTTACTTATGGTTATGGTTAGGGCGGGGTAGGGGTTAACCCCTCCCCCACTCACAGAAACGGTCCGGTGTCATTAACCCAGAAACAGCAGCTTGTGCATAAATTAAATTAATCATATACACATAAAACTTAAACTGCATTTTATATGCCTTTACACAGCATCGTCATACATATACTATATATAATGCATAATATATATATACATATTATAACGAGATATATATATATATATATTACTGTGACACAGACAGGAATAAACACGAGACAGTTACTGCACCATTATATGCAACCCAAACACACGCAGCGGGAAAAGTTGAAATCAGAGCCTACTGACAAAGGTCACACGGCGACGCTTACACAAGCAGCACGTGAATTATGCAAATGTCTCCCCCACGGCACTCTCTGGAGACTGTGGGGGGGGCTCAGTCAAAGGTTCCTGCCTTCTTTACACCAGTGTGAACAGGATGAAGTCCCTTCAGAAGTTCGAGGTGTCTGGGTCACTGCCTCTTTTGTTTTATATGGGCTGCATTCCACCAGATCTTATCACTTATTATTTTTTGCCTATAGATAGATGACCCTGTACATAAGCACCAGTTTTATTTACCTACCAGTATACCAACCCAGCATGTTCAGCATTAGTCCTACAGTGGACAGTTTTTGGTCATTGAATCAAATTATTATATATGATTGAATTATTCAAAATTTGTCCATTATATACTTTGTGCGCAAAGTAAACAGGGTTTCTGCAAATTCCCTGACTATACTGCCATATTCAGGTTTATTTCATTTCTGTTGTACCTCAAAGACCTGTGATGAGCTGATGTCCCATCTGGGGAGGGGTCTCCTGCCATTTGCCCTGTGCTTCCTGGGATTGGCCCCAGCCTCACTGCACCCCTCTGGACTTATGGAAAATGTTCCTGAAAGGGAAAACAGTTGTGTGCCTTTCATCTTAAAGCACTCTCACTCTCCAGGGTGGTGGAGGAGTGTAAGCCTCCCCGACTGCCTCGGGAGCAGTGGGTGTCTCGGTGCAAATGGCCCACACCTTGCGCCCCCCCACACCTCGAGACCATATTGCAAGGTGTCATTCCCCTGGCTGTTTATTCAGGCCCATCTGCTTTGCCATGTCCCACTGTGTTGGGGGAATTCTGATTGGGGCACTGCACCCGGGCTTCCCAATCCCGGGCTTTCCGCTCCCGGGCTTCCCAATCCTGGGCTTTCCGCTCCCGGGCTTTCCGCTCCTGGGCTTCCCAATCCTAGGGCTTCCCAATCCTAGGTTCCCCATTAATGGTGTTCACACGCCTCTCCGCGTAGTGCAGTAGTCACACCCCTCTCCACCAGTCCGACAACAACCGCGCCACACATTGGTACCTCTGCCCTTTCTGCCCAGGTGGCTTTCCCGGGAACCTCTTTGGGATCCTTCCATGGTGAGATGTCCAAGCCACTGCCTGAATCGGACCAACTGCCTTTAAACACAAATAGGAGGGATGCGTAAAAGAACTGGCACATTTTTTACTCCAATTAGAAACAAAGAATTTCCAGGGGATGCATCCTCTAATAAGTATAAGGTGAAGGAGCATGTTTTAGTGTTTTGGTCTTTTATGTGTAGGAGTCTGTCACCTGACCATTTGCCCAGTGTTTCTGTCATCTCTTCCTGACACCCCCCACCTCCACTTCGTCCACCTCCTCCTCCTCCTCTCCCACGTCAGGCCACAAGAGAGGAGCCGAAGCACACAGATGTCACCGTCCCCTTCGTCACATTCACGCCTGGGACCCAGCCATGCGTTTTTTTTTTTTCCCGCTAAGTAGGTCGCTGTCATGTTAGTCAGTGACACAAAAAACAGAACATTAGCTAAAAAAAAAAACACTTATGGCAAGCGTGTGGAGAAACGTGAGAATGTGTGCATCTTAAATCACTGCACTAGCCTAACCAGCTAACAGCGAACGCTCCCAGTGGAATACTCAAAAACATCAGTGGCAAATTAATGAAAGACTGAAGCAGCATCGTCCTATTGTGTTTAATAATCTCTTAATGTCGATTTATGATGCTATTACCTGCTTACAATGCAAACTTTCTTCTAAGCATTTAAAATGTCTCTTCATCCTTTCCTCAGCTCCTCCCTTGTAGACGATCCCCGCAAATCATCTCCATGCTTATCACCCTCTGTGCTTCTAAAGCAAAGAGAATTCCTGGGCAGAGATACCCGGGTTGTGTGGCTTTTCAGTGGAAATGCAAAGTCAATACATTCACACTAATAAGACATTTTTGCATTCAATTCAAATCCTCTTTGGAATGTAAACATTTAAGGTTTTTTTTTTATCGCATTATAAAATCCTGTTTCACTTTATGTATCCATTGAAATAGCTGATTGCTGCAGTACTTTCTTAACCTTGAACTGCATTTCACCTATATTCTATATCTAAAACCTTGTCTATATGTCGACGTGCTTGATTCAGTCATACGGTCACAGTGTGTCACTGCTACTTAAGGTACCAAATTTATGCACATCCATCTGTGTGCCTGTTTGGTGCTGTGCCTCTCCCTTTGTTTGGGGTGCTGTGTGCTGAGAAAGTTAGGGGGCCACTTGTTTGAGGGCAAACTCTGCAGCGTTTGATTAAATCAAGTGAATTTACAGCACAAAGCCGCCCTCATCAGAGCTGTCGCGGGACAGAAAAAAAACACCTTTCTCGGATGCTGCCGGCCTGGTGGCTCAGTGTGCTCAGGGGAACGTTGTCTGACCCCAAAAGATCAGCATAGTTACTCGTGTTGATGGATGAGGTGCTGATGCCAAGAGTGCCGGTGGATGTGTGGACCTGGGTCAGTATTTGACCCGTACATGTGCTTTGACTCGTCTGGCCGCTGAAATCTGGGAAAGCCATGAGTGTTTAAGAGGGTAACAGGATTAGCTTTTGGGCTGCTGTTTAAATACATAACCTGGCTTTTTTGAATATCGATGGATGGATTTTTAGGTAGCAGAGGTACCATCTAAGTCCTTCTCTGCAAATCATTCAAAGGGCACTCTTAACAGAGATGGGACGGTTCTGATAAGGAGTCATAATGCTCTACACTCAGACACTCCTGTGGTGTCCTTGGGTGTTTTATTGCCGACATCACGAAGGTAGAATGCAGGGGAGAATTAATTCCCGCCCTTCACATGGTTTTGAGGGTGCTATTAATCTGTGCTGGTAGGATACTGGGGGTTGCATGCAGGTCAGTGAGAAAAATCCAGAGGAAATTTCTTTCTGTAAAAGCTGCATCAGTATTCAAGGTATTCATGTGCACATTCTTCCATGTTAGTCCTACGGTGGTCAGTTATTGAAGGTATTTGTAATGGATGATATATTAATGATATTTCTATTACTCATTTTTTTTTTTACTTAGAGTAAACAACGCTTCAGGAAAAAAAACAATATATAATTGTGGTGTAGTACAAAATACTATATGTAATGCAGTAATGTATTGGGGTTTTTTAATTTTTATTTTGCTTTGTTACTAAAGGTGCTTGTGAATTTTATACTGGAAACCACTTCAGTAACAGACATTTTTAGCAACAACACAGTTTCCAAGGTGCATTCAGAGGGTCTAAGGTCAGCTTTACATCAACATGGATGAATGTGAGCCTCTCTCATACATTGCATTTTTCCAATACCAAATACCCAATGTGTTGTTCAAGTATGTACACAGTGTCAACACAACATACTAACATCAGTATTTATATTTAAGCACCAGTAGTCATAGAATATATCCTTAAATGCTACATACCACAGACCATGCAAAATGACCGCCTCCTACACTCCTACAGACCACAAGTCTAACTGTTAATTTCATTTGACCCCCACCAAACAGGTAATCAACTAATCAGTCGGCAAACACAGAAGGGTTTGATGTGCCCCATTGTTTTCTGTTTAGGTGCCATGACTTCCTAACAATGGGTCTTGTGATTACATTTGTGTGGGCACTGAGCCACGAGCAGCCAATTGGAACAGATTGTTCCTGAATTGTTTGTCTGGAATGTCATACATCAGCAGGGATCCTTACGAGACTATTTCTGTCATGGGTCACGGACACTATCCACAAAAGGAGGGACACTGCAAAAATACAATTAAACCCAAAATAGGGTAACATAGCCATCAGGTGCCTCCTAGCACCATTTAAAAAGTGATTTTGATACTTCACCAAGTAGCTGGTGTCCCCACAGTTTTGGAAAAAGTCAGACAGAGTTAAGGTAAACAAAATCCTACTGGAGAGAAGCACTTTCTGGGTTATTGTTGTGAATGTGATTGTGGGCAGGGAACTATATCTTCTGTAAGATTCCTAATCTCTTAATGAATGTAGGCAAATGCCTAATAATGTGTCAGCCATTTGTCCATTAGATGTAAGCAAGCAATAATGTCTATTACAATACATTTGCTACAGGTGTGGTAAGAAAATATCAGTAGCTATAACATTATTATAATTATTATTATTATTATTATTATTATTATTATTATTATTATTATTATTATTATTATTATAATGATTTGGATGGGAAGCGTTGCTTCTCCACGTGGTTTTATGTTGTATTTTAATCATTTTATTAAGAGGAGCGTTCAGTTTTGCATTTTGCAGAATCAGACGGCGTAGGTATCAGTCGGCACCCGCGATGACTTAAGGCAAAAGTCCCCTAATCCCGGGAAAGACAGACGGGGAATTTCGGAGCCAGCAGAACTCCGGCGCGTTTCCACAGTCCGACGGGCAGGCAAACCTTGGGCGCTCATTGGACGGCGAGCCTATATAAATTACTGCAGTGCTGTAAGTCAGAGCAGACAGCTGCAGACTGACGCTGTGGACTACACCCGAGAGCCGGAGGCAACTGGCTGAGGACCTACATCTATACTGAGCGTCGTTTTGCGGCGTTTTTCGCTTGGCTGTGGTTAATAATCTCCATATTCGCCATGAAAGAGAGGAGAATTACACAGCCGCTTGTGGTTAGATGTAAACTGGTGCTCGTTGGGGATGTTCAATGCGGAAAAACGGCAATGTTGCAAGTGTTGGCCAAGGACTGTTATCCAGAGGTATGCAATTAATATTATCTACGTATTTATTAAATGAAAAATATACTTTCCACTTTACAGCATATTCTCATTATTGCCTATTTTTATTTGTGTGCATTGTCATGTTTGGCTTACTGCAGATAACGTGGGAATGTATCTAGTGTTCTACAGACCGGGTTTCATATATATATATATATATATATATATATATATAATTTTTATGGTAGTTTCAACTCTGTATCATTTATTTAGTACAATAATCCATCACACAAGCTGTTTGTTCATAGCATAGTCAAGTGCCCAACGTATTATGCACATTTAAGAGATGTAGAGGTATTTAATAGGATTTAGGTGCCTTAACAGTGAGATTTGTTTCAATTTAAGTTCTATATTCTGCGACTTGATTGTATTAATAGTTGGACGTGGCTTACAGAATGTTTTACTTTTTGCATTTTATGTTATATTGGATTGATTGGGGCTTTGGATGCTTGTCTTTGAAGGGTGTATAATGACGCCTAGTTTCCTCTTTTTCGGTACCCTTTGTAGACGTACGTGCCGACAGTGTTTGAAAACTACACAGCCTGCCTGGAACTAGAAGAGCAACGAGTGGAGTTAAGTCTCTGGGATACATCAGGTGAGAATCACTCAGCATTTCTCCTCTTAATGTGGCGGCATGTTCTTGCGTGATTTGCTCACCAGTGAACGGGAAAAAAATGCATGTCAGATGCTGTTCGTTATTAATAAAAGGCCACTGAAACGAAGATATGAGTTACCATATATATTTTCATTTAAAAGTACTTTTTGGAACAGAAAATGGTAAAAAAAAAAAAATTGAGTGAAATGTATTTGTCTCCTTATACGTACCACCGATGTTTTTCATGCGTCACCAAATTTATCAGTTCTGTTTATAGCATGGTCTGATGCTACCAGGGCGATTGAAAATGCTAACAAATACCAATAATACCTAATTTATTTGTCTCTTTTTCTTTCGTACTATGATGTTCCTTCGGTCACTGCAATGATCTGTTCTGTGTGCCGGAATGGGCTGAGGTTTCTAAAAATACAGTGCGATGTGTATTGGTTGGACTTTAATAGCCATTGTTCTGTGGGAATAGAAAAGGCGATTTGCTTTGACAATCGGTGATTTATTGTCGCGATGCGAGTCCTGCCAGCCGTTGCGGGCGTCTCACGCTTGTGTGTTGACTGTCGTAGCGGCACCGTCAGTAAGTGAGCTAATGTGTCGTGTGAGGAATACAGATGTGCTGATACTACTACAGCGCATCGGCGCCTCAGATGTGCAGTGATATACCCGACCAATTCTCACCTCATTATTCGGAAAGGCGCTAAAATAATTAGTTGTTGTTTTTTTTTAGTCTAAGTGTGTGTTTATTGGAGGTCCCATTATCCTGTGATAGACCGTCTCCTTCTGTTTTGGGTGTGTAATTTGATTATCGTTGCACCAGCAGTTCTACTGGACGCTGGTTAGGTAAATACGTGAAATATTATGTTATTTCACGTTTTAACTGCTCGCCTGCTTTTGCATTGGTTCATGCAGCTGACTCAGTTCAATTTCACATTTTGTGCTTCTTTGCAGGCTGGTCTTTCGTGAAGGTGCATATTTCTCGTGATAATTAAGATGCTGCAGTCATTTTGGAGGCTTGCTTTAATTTTACGATTTCCTGTTTCTTACCGACAAAAGGAGCTATATGTCTGTACCTTCATTAGCTCTATATATGTGGATATGTCAAGCAGACTATTGTATTATATGATACGGATTATGTTCTTGCCTGGTATGGATGACTGGTAGTTGTAATACATGTTACACTGTGGTGATTTTAACTTTAAGCCTCACATTTTACTGTGTCATCTGTGGAGAGTGCATCGTTAACATAATACATCTTCCTGTTTATCACTGATCCAGTCAATAATTTAATTCTAGCTGAATATGGATTTTAACATGCGTTTTAATTTATTTGTTGCCAGTGTCAGGCAAATTCCATAACAGTAAATCCTAAAAATCAGCCGGGAGCGGCTTGCTGCATTTTACTGTGACCTTCTGATCGTTACCGTGTAAATCGCCAGATATCTTGTCCTTAACAGTGTTTGAGGTGCTGTTCTTCTAAGTTGGATTTTTCGGTTGTTGTGGGATCCGCGGCAGGTTATGGGGTAGTAAAAAATACGTCTATAGATTGAAAGCAGTACCCTAACACCCAAATAATTAGGGAAAGAGCGTTTTTGGCTTGAGATCCATGTAGACAGATATAATATTCAGAACCAATAAATTTCCTGTGTTATCAATGGATTTCAAGTTAGTGGAATATTAATTAGTCATTGTAGGTAATGTGTTCATGTAAATAATAATAAGACAAAATACGTCATAGTGTTTTGGAAATTTTGTATGACCCGTGGTGCCATAGTCTCTCCTTAACCAGGGCTTTTTCTATCCACGTAACCATAAGTGGTGTTTATAAGCCGTATACATTTATATGGTTTGTAGTTTCCAGACTGAAAGTGCGCTCCACATGACAGGTTGCCGTTTGTCTACTGCTGTCCTCTCAATTGACGGTGTTCTAAACCCTGGGCGTATTGCTTTAATTGTTGCTCTCAGCGGATGCCCAAGTCGATCATTATAGATGGGTTTTGAACTCATATCTTGAAAACTTGGGTAAGATAAACTTTATTAATCCCAAGTGGAAACTCTTGATTCTTGAATATCAGTAGAGGACCGCTGTCATTGCTCTCGGATCTGTGTGCCGCGAGCTTGCTTGGGCTAAACCAGCAGACGGACGGCTCGGCTGCACGGCGGATGGGTGATGCCTTGCACCGGAGATGATTAAACCTTTGCTTTCTGGAACGTTACGTAAAACGCACACCAATAAAGGAAGTATTATGCGCTGGCTGTTTTAATCCCAGGAGGCTTGGCTCCTCCTCCGATTGGAAGGGGTACAGATATGGCAGTTGGTGTGCGATAGGATAGTTTTAACTGGCGATAGGGCTGGCAAGGAACCATACGACCAGATTTGGGGTTTGGCAAAAAGGGGTCAATGACCTTCAGTTCCTGTAACCTTGTTGGAGCCATTAAAAGCAGAGAAGAGACTGTGTTTGATAATCCGGAAGCTCCCATGGTGGACGGTCCATGTTATGAATGTCTCTGCTATCGATATCTGTCAAGCTGTGCTTTGAGTCCACCTTGACTGTTGTTTCTTACTTCTTTACATGTAGGGTTGGGGTCCCTAAAGATCACATGGATCAATGACGGTGGTGTCTTGGCCCTCATTCATTTCACTCCACTGCCATGCCGGTGTGTTAACTGTCACACTCGGCCGTTCATCCCCCTACCTTCTTCTGCCGGCGCAAGCGCCCGGGAACATCACTCTTATTAAAGCGGCTTTTGATCATTGATCGCTCTGCCTTCATCGCTGTCTTCCATAGCTGCTCCGGGGAGGAAGAGAACAGATTTGCTGGAAGAAATCAATTTGGTCCTTTAATCAAGTGTGGAGACAGTATGTGGCTCCTTGTGATCTTGGAGATGGTCTATCTGTAGGGTCCTGGTGTGTATGGTGTCATTTATGTGCTGTTTGTGTTTGTGTATGTACAGGAAACCTTGATAATGTTAAGGTCACAATTTAAGCTGTTTTCTAACAAAGAATGCTTCATACTATGATATTTGAAAACATTACAGCTCTCTGAGGCATCATGCCCTAGAGGAATTGATAGTGAGAAATTGATGACTATTGAATAAATGATTATGGCCTTTACTGCTAAGGATTATGGACATTTACCATTTCATGTTTGGCAGACCTACAAATATCACCTTACAAGCATACAGGGGTGTAGTTAGAGATGAATGGATGGGGGGCCGAGTCTTTACTAGAGGGGGGCGATGGTAATTTTTTTTTATAATATAACAAGCTAGTCATAAATTCAGCCAATAAATGCACATTTATTTAGGGCGGCTAAAAAAACATTTTAGGGGGGCTAAAGCGCCCAATAAAATAAGCCTAACAACGCCTCTCCAAGCATGCATGCTATTAGGGAATCTTCTAGGCATTAATGCAGCTATGCTGAGCTTCCAATGAATGACCCAGGTACAAGTGTCAGCAGTAGTGGAGCAGGAGATACACAACAACTTCTAACAAAGCAAGGACCTAATAAAACTACAAGGACCAGAAGTACAACATCAGAACATTCAGGGGATTTAAAGAGGCGTCAGTTTAGTAGTAGACATGTTGGTGGTCATAGCTCTGGCGGAAACAGGCTCTTGTGCTTGGAGTTAGAGATACGACCATCCTGTTTTCTGCATTCCCATCCTTACGAGTGCCTCCCCAGCCTCTTGCTACAAACCAAAGCACCACGCTGGGGGTGGATTTCCCATGGGGACCGTCTCCAGCCGCCCACTAAATGTGACATCAGGGCTTCCCCCTCCAGCCCATACCGACGCGATGCACAACGCCACCCTCGGGGGGCCTCCTCGTCACTGTGGGGGTTTAGATGTGCCCCCGTCTCGGCAGCAGAAGGCATTCTCGTTGCTATTAAAAGTAGCTAGAAGACATGGTGCTATTGAGCGGTGAAGACAGGGGTAGTGTTGCACTTTCTCTCTTTACAGCAGCTACGACTTCTTCAAAGCAAGTAGGATATGGGCACTCTAAGGCAACCAAGTAGTTCAGGACAAGGGTTTCAATTGGAGGTTGATGGTTTCAGTCCCAGGAGGTGTAGTACTGCTCTACTAGGTGCTTAACCTTTTTGTTTGACTAAAATATCTTTATGTTTGGGTAAAATTGAGTATCGCACCCTGTCAACCTTTTTTCATGCTGGCTGAGGTTTGGCTCTTCATGGAAATAAGCTTCAGTGGCTTGAGCTGTAGGATCGATGGCAATATAGTCGCAGACCTGGGTGACCCTTAAAATGTGGATCTGTCATAGATTTCTGCTTGGCTGGTTAGGCTGGTTTCTTGGACTTTCTCCCATGCAGGGGAGAGACATTAACTGGCGGCATACAGGTATGTGTTAGTGTAACAGGAAGGGACCCTATCTCCGGTCCTGGAGACCTACTATCCAGTAGGTTTTCTATCCTACCTGGCTTCTGATGAACCACACCAGTTCTTAGGTAAATACCAGGAGCAGGTATGGCTCATCAGAAGCCAAGTAGGATAGAAAACCTACTGGATATCTTAACAATCAGCCCGATCCAATGCAATTTGCGCCACTCATGGATTTGCACCCTACGTATCCAGTAACCCTGTTAAACAGCCTGCCTCCCAGCTGGTTCTTTGCCATAGTGCTTTTCCGTGCATTTTGACCAGCACTAATCACAGTCGGGGTCCCAACTGCCCGAAACTCTCCCGATCTGTCAATTGCCTACCCTCTAATTACACCAATTAGTGACGGTATAATTGGTGCTGCGTCCTTCGCCGGCTCGCATGGTGCACACGTGTATCGCTTTTCACGCTCGTCACACCGCATGCCTAATTAGGGAGGTTAATTGAATTCGCTCACCAGTCCCTCGCGTGCGTCAGTGTCCCTAAGCTGCTGACATTCTACAGTCTGATCGCCACCGTGCCGGCACCTCTCGGACCCCAAGCGATTTGAGCTCTGCTTGTTAAGGCATCTCTCTGCGCTCTGTCCGGGGACCCCGCAGAGCATCCGAAACATTTTATAAATAATTGAAGATCTGATTTAGGCTCGTAGCAGCCGAGCAGTTTCTGTCAGGGACCATTTCTCTGACTTCAGCAGGATCTTTCACGTGGTCGTTGAATGAAACTTGTGTTCTGAAAAAGAAATTCTATATTGGTGTCGTGAAACCTTGACAGAATAGGGAAGGCCTCCCCAAATAATTAAAGTTGTTAAATAAGTTGGCGTGCTCTCAGTATAAACAGCTGAGGAATCGCTTTCTGTTGCGGGCTGGTTAATCCCTAAACGGCCGTGGGACTCCTGCGGACTCGGACGCCATCCTGCCCACGTGGGCTCAGGAAAATGCCACCGTTTCAAATCTGGCAGTATTTCGCCAGATAACTGGAAATTGCTTTTCCCGGGAGCTTGTCTCCGTTCTGGGAGGCAATCACCTTGTCACTGGCATGCGGTGGTGCGCCTGCCCGGCACGGAGGGCTGACGCGCTGTCAATCGCATGGAATTCCATTATCTGCCTTTGGATGTGGATCTGGCCTCATACTCTCCGCCTTGGGTGTTCCTGCGCGGCTGGTTTTCACGTCCATTGATCGCTCATCAAATTGCTTGTCCTTTAGTATGAGGTTCTCACAATTTTCACAATAAAATTTCAAATGTGTTTTTTTTTTTTTGGACAGTTGGACAGGGGGTTTATAACTCGCCTAATTCTTGATGTTGGGCTGTGGAATTCTTTATGTGGATCAAAAATAGACGCTATGGAAATGCACTGTTACCTCCAAATGTAGGTTATCCATCGTGCTGTATCTGTTTTGTAGACGTGAGGTCCCGGGTGCTTTAAAAGCTGACCCCCCCACCCCCACCCTCTGTGTTCCCTTTGACTGCAATATGCCGCCACCCAAATACTGCCAGCGGGGGCAGGCATTGTACCGAGGTGCCTTTGCCTGTCCTCTGGCATTAGCATGTCCCCTTAACAGCGAGTGGGGGGGGTGGGGTGGTGGGGGGGCACGGTGTAGATTCCCCAAGGGAACCGCCATCACATGCAGATGGAACCCAGGCATCAGAGGACGAGTCGTGTTTGTGTGCGCGTGCAAGAATCCCGATGCAGTAGATTAGAGGAGTTTCTCAGGCAGTGGGTGGGGGGTGGGGGTGGGCGGGACATGGAACACGGCGGCGAGATGATTCGGGTCGACGGGTTAAGGAAAAGCCGGTGCGGGGGCGGCCCAGAGCGCGGGATGCAGACGGTGCCTTCCGAGGCTGTTGCTGTGGTTACGGGGGAGACTGTGTGGGCACGGCTGGTGCTGAGGATAGCGGCCATGTGCGAGGAAGGCACGCGCATGTGGTAGCCTCCCCCGCCCCCCTCCCCGCTGTGCCGCGATACGCGCTAGAGGAGATTCTAACAAGGCTCTGCTTCTCCTTTGCCATTTCCCTGTGTGAGAAGAAGCCTGGAAAGGAATCAAAAGTAGAATGGGATGGGAAAGAAGCTGACCGCCGATACAGCATCGCTACGTGAATCTCCCTGCTGCTTAGACCTAGTCACCTGTTCCACAATCCACTGGGTCGTCCTCTCTGCTTCGCTCGTTCATTTTAGCCTCAGATTCTGCGCCGTCCTGCCTCCCCGTCTGTCCTTGCCCTTGCCCGGCCATCCTCTAAGTTCCCGCCCCTCCGTTTTTAGCATCGCCCAGACCTCAGGGGCGACGCTCGCCTGTAAATCATGTCACCCGGGTCGTAACCAAAGGTCTCCGTTGCAGGGTCCCCGTATTATGACAACGTGAGGCCCCTGTGCTACAGCGACTCGGACGCTGTGCTCCTGTGCTTCGACGTCAGCCGGCCCGACACCGTGGACAGTGCGCTGAAGAAGGTACGTGCTGCTCATCACGCACTGCCCTACCTTCTAACTGGATCAAACCCAGTGACAAACAGTTGAATGTCTACAATAGAAACTACGTCATGCACTGTTTAGCTTATATTATAAGGATAATAAAAATGGGCCCTTGGTGTGTTGCACATCTATCTATCTATCTATCTATCTATCTATCTAGATAGATATCTATCTATCTGTCTGTCTGTCTGTCTGTCTGTCATCTATGTAGCTTTGAAAAAGAGTCATATATTATTTGGGAATGCAGGGTCAGCCTTTAATCTGTCCTTTAGCCTGTGTTGCGTAATAAATTTAGCCAGCGTTTAGCTGCCCTGATGTACTGATCCTACCAGTGATCCCTAGGTGCAACCTATACTCTCTCTCTCCATCTCTGCAGTGGAAGACGGAAATCCTGGACTTCTGTCCCAGCACTCGCATCCTCCTCATCGGCTGCAAGACAGATCTGCGCACCGATGTGTGCACGCTGATGGAGCTGTCCAATCAGAAGCAGACGCCCATCTCCCACGAGCAGGCAAGACTAGCCTTCCGGAATGCCCAAGAGGCCATTGTGAATAATTCCGAGACTCACCTACATTTGAATGGCATTCTAGAATTTTTTGGTATGGTCAATCGGCTGACTCCCTCAGGGGTGGGGTGAGGCTGGTGAAGGTTTATTTAAATGTTCTTCTGCGCCTCCGGCCGGTTCATGCATATTCAATGACACCTAAAGCTAAAGGGACATCACCCGCTCCCCTTCCCTCAGACAGAGCCTAACGGTGCCCATCTTCTCATTCCTGACTCAGGGCTCAGCCTTGGCTAAGCAGCTGGGCGCCGAGGCCTACCTCGAGTGCTCGGCCTTTACTTCAGAGAAGAGCATCCACAGCGTCTTCCGCACGGCCGCCCTGGCCTGCATCAACAAGCTGCAGCCGGCGGCCAAAGCCAGCCCGTCCCGCCGCCTCTCCAAAAGACTGCTCCACCTCCCCAGCAGATCCGAGCTACTCACCTCCACCTTCAAGAAGGAGAAGGCCAAGAGCTGCTCGGTGATGTGAGCGGGGACCCTGGCCATCTTCCCTGCTCCCTGTGACCGCCGCCGCTCTTC